TTCATTAGAGTTACCACTAATAACCCCACAACAGAGTCTATACCAGGCTGTTTGGGGATTTCTTCTGCCAATGGAATTAATTCAAAACTCTTCACTTTATCAGATTCTTCAGACAAGGGCAAAAGGCACCCACTTTCTTCAAAATATCACAATAACTATCTATAGGCAACATGTTCAAATTCTTCTCCTCTGAAACCTCTTGAGTGAGCCCCCCAGCAGTTCAGATGACTCTTGGCTGTTTCCATGCTCCTACTAGTATGGCTCATTAAGCAGTTCTTAAAACATTCCACTGCTTCCATAAACCAAAGTATCAAAGTCCAAATTCCTCAAGAGGAAAACATGTTCTGGCTTAACACAGCAATACCCCAGTTCCTGGTACCAACTTCTGTCCTAGGGTTTCTTTTTTTTTTTTTTAATATTTATTTATTTATTATGTATACAATATTCTGTCTGTGTATGTGTGCCTACAGGCCAGAAGAGGGCACCAGACCTTTACAGATGGTTGTGAGCCACCATGTGGTTGCTGGGAATTGAACTCAGGACCTTTAGAAGAGCAGGCAATGCTCTTAACCTCTGAGCCATCTCTCCAGCCCCCTGTCCTAGGGTTTCTTTTGCTGTGAAATTAACACCACAATCACAGCAACTCTTATAAAGGAAATATTTAATTGGGGTGGCTCTCACTTATGTTTCAGAGGTTTAGTCCATTATCATCATGATGGGAAACATGGGGGCATGAACACAGATGAGCTGGAGAGGGAGCTGAGGGTCCTACATCTTGCAGGCAACAGGAAGTTGACTGATACAGTGGGTGGTATCCTGAGCATAGGAATTCTCAAAAGCCTGCCCCCACAGTGACACGCTTCGCCAACAAAGCCACACCTCCTAATAGTACCACTCCCTATGAGATTATGGGGGCCAACTGCATTCAAACTATCAAACCTGGTCTACAGAGTGAGTTCCAGGACAGCCAGAGCTACACAGAGAAGCCTTGTCTGGTGTGGAATGGTCTTTCTGTATGCTGTGAATATGTGTTGCTCTCATTGATAAATAAAGCTGTTTTGACCTATGGCATGGCAAGATAGAGCCAGGTAGAAAAATCCAAGCAGGGATACAAGAGAAGGGCGGAGTCTGGGAGATGCTAACCAGCCTCAGATTAAGTAAGACAGGTAAGAAATGAGGTAATAAGCCATGAACCATGTGGCAAGCATAGGTAAGAAATATGGGTTAATTTAAATGTAAGAGCAGACTAGTAATAAGCCTGAGCAGTCAGTCAAACATTTAAATAAACATAAGCCACTAAGTGATTATTCAGGAACTGGCAGGTGGTAGAGAGATCTCAGATTACAAATGATATAGCAACGTGAAGCTATCAAATTTCCATAGAACCTGAGAAAACTTTTAAAAATAGAAAAGGAGGTGGTTCCTTCAAGAGTTTTTGTGGGACAGTGAGTTCTTGAGCAGCTGATATGTTAAGTAGAAACAAACTAAGTAAAACTGCCTGCCACAGCACAAGCATTGGCATTCTAGAGCTCTAGGAAAGGTTTAATGCAATTCTTACGAACCTCCAACTGGGCTGTGAGCTTTAGGCTTGACTTTCAGTACCCCAAAAGCGGGCGGAGTCAGTCACCAAGGTCGTGGGCAGATATTCACTCTGCTTAGCAGTTTAAAGGTTTGTTTTCATCTGGCGATGGATGGAGATAGAGACAGAGACCCACACTGGAGCACTGGACAGAGCTCTCAAGGTCCAAATGAGGAGCAGAAGGAGGGAGAACATGAGCAAGGAAGTCTGGATCTCGAGGGGTGCATCTATTGGGAGCTCACCAAGGCCAGCTGGACTGTGACTGAAAAAGCATGGGATAAAACCGGACTCTCTGAACATGGCGGACAATGAGGGCTGCTGAGAAGCCAAGGACAATGGCACTGGGTTTTGATCCTACTGCATGTACTGGCTTTGTGGGAGCCTAGCCTGTTTGGATGCTCACCTTCCTAGAGCAAGATGGAGGCGGGGGAGGACCTTGGACTTCCCACAGGGCAGGGAACCCTGACTGCTCTTCAGACTGGAGAGGGGGAAGGGAGGGGTGGGGGGGAGGGGGAGGGAAAAGGGAGGCGGGGAGGAGGCGGAAATTTTTAATTAAAAAAGCAAGAAAAAGGGGCTGGAGAGATGGCTCAGTGGTTAAGAGCATTTCCTGCTCTTCCAAAGGTCCTGAGTTCAATTCCCAGCAACCACATGGTGGCTCACAACCATCTGTAATGAGATCTGGTGCCCTCTTCTGGCATGGAGATGTACACACAGACAGAATATTGTATACATAATAAATAAATAAATATTAAAAAAAAAAGCAAGAAAAAAAGGCTAAAAGTAAAAGTGGTCTGGACAGAAAAACCTCTAAACAGGTTCCAATTTGCTTTACAATGTGCGTAGGCTTAAGAAAAAAAATAGTATCTACAGTTATAGAAAGGAATAAATAGTCAAAAAAATCATAGCCTTTAAAGAGACAAATGAAATAATAAAAAAGCCAGGGAGTCTGGATCCTGAATTTTGAAATTTTTGATGGCCAATGGGTGAGAGCCAGCTGCTGAGAGACCTGGGATTGAAAGAGAGACATAAAATATACCAACTTAAATATTTTTAAATTGCCTGACTGGGTATGACTAAGAAACTCCATTTACACCTGTCTTCAAAATAAATAAATAAAGAGGAGGAAGAAGAGGAGAAGGAAGAATGTTCTTGATTGCCAGGTCAGACTACATAGTTTCAGACAAGGCAGGGTGACAGACAGAGTGAAACCCAGTCTCCAAAACAAAAACCTACAACCAACAAAACTCCCGGTATCTGATTACTATCATGTAAAAGTAGTTTATCATGTTTTTATCTGATTACTATCATGTAAAAGTAGTTTATCATGTTTTTATCTGATTACTATCATGTAAAAGTAGTTTATCTAGGACTAGTGTCAAAACCTGTCATCCCTGGGGCTGGAGAGGTGGCTCAGTGGTTAAGAAAACTACCTGCTCCTCTAAAGGACACGGGCTCAACTCCCAGCACCCACATGTCAGCTCACAACTGTCTGTAAGTCCAAGATCTTACACCCTCGCACAGACAGACATACAAGCAAAATACCAACGCACATAAAATAAATAAATTTAAAAAAGAAGAAGAATGTGACAGGTTTACAAGAGTAATGAACGGTTCCAAGAAGGTGCCCGCGGCAGTCATAGCAGGATTGCCGAGGCCAAGTTTTAAGGAAAAAGAAAAAACAAAAACAAAAAACCAAACCTGCAATCCCAGTCAGTTAGGAGGCTAAGGCAGGAACAATTTCAAAACCTGCCTAGTGAGACCCTGTCTTAGAATGTGAGGGGGCTGGAGAGCTGGCCCAGAGGTTAAAGAGTGCTTGCTGATTTTAACAGAGGACCAGAGTTGAGTTCCCACCGCCCATGTCAGGCCACTCACAACCACTTGTTGTTATAGTTGAAAAGATAATGGCGGGCGAGGGAGAGACAGCCATCATGCGATGCGACAGAGCTCATGTGGAGGGCTTTATCAGGAGAAGGGAATGGGAAAAGGAGGAAAGGAGGGAGAAAACCAGACTCTGGAGACAGGAGCAGCTGCGGAAAAGGGGAAAGGGAGGCAGAGAGAGGAAGAAGGCGGGGATGCCTTTTATGAGGGGACATTGGTGTAGTGAGGTCGCTGTCAGGAACCCTGAGCAGGTCAGAGTACTGCCTGAGTACTGGCAAGGGCATCCTGTCAGGTGACGGCCAGCACAATGCCTGAATTGTAACCACCTGTTACTTCGGCTCTGGGCTGATCCGACAGCCTCTTCTGGCCTTTGTACATACGTGTGCACACACACATAAATAAATTTAAACATCTCTTAAGTGCAAAGAGCGCTGTAGACACATTTTAGTGTTAAACCTCTTGCCAAGTGTGCTCAAGGTCTTAGATTCGATCCCCAGACTGTAAAGAATAGAAAACAAGAAAAGCAGGGGAAAGGAAAGATCAGATACTTTTTTTTTTTTTTAAATTTACAGCTGGGCAGTGGTGGCACATGCCTTTAATCCTAGAGGCAAGTGGACCTCTGTGAGTTCGAGGACAGCCTGGTCTACAAAGTGAGTTCTAGGACAGCCAGAGCTGAATAGTGTAACTCTGTCTCGAGAAACAAAAACAAAACAAACAAAAAGAGTAAATTTGAGATCTTCAGAGACAACAAAGGAGGCTGGAAATATAGAGAAGGCAAGGAGCCAAGTTTACAAAAAGGCATTCTAGTTTACTGTAATACTGAGTGGTGTCACCCCTGCCTGACAAGGGCTTGGACTTCAATTCCCAGCCTGCCAAGCACTGACCCCACGAACCCACAGGGTATTTAGGGTAGCACTAGAACAAGGAACATGTGGTTTTGTGTTTGTTTGTGCCACTCCCTCTGTCTTCCCCCTGCCATGCTCTTGGCCACCCGGTAGTCTGCTGTCTATTAAACTCGGGTACTTAATTTGGTTTAATCTAGTCTGATTGGATTCCTTTGCACCAGCAGAGAGGCTCTGTTAGAAAATATTCCTAACATTTACCTTTTCCTCCATAATAGCAGCACCAGCACTTTAGTGATTACTAATATTTGGGGTTTTATTTTTTATTTTTTGGTGGGGGTGGAGGATTGGTTTTGTTTGTATGTTTGTTTTTTTTGAGACAGGGTTTCTCTGCATAACAGTCCTGGCTGTCCTGGAACTCGCTCTCTAGCTCAGGCTGGTCTTGAACTCACAGAGATCCAACTGCCTCTGTCTCTCAAGTGCTGGGATTAAAGGCGTGTGCCACCACCACCCTCCCATATTTGTCGTTTTGAGACAGGGTGTTGGCCTTAAAATCACAATAATCCTCCTGTCTCTGCCTCCCAAGAGCTGGGATTACAAGTATAAGTCACTACATTTGTTAGCCATTACTAAATACTAATTATATGTTCAACTAATTAGCGAGACAGTGTAACTTTGTTCTCACAAAAGAAAAATGATGTATACTTGCCTGGCAGGGGCAATAGCATGACTACAAAGGCGATTCTCCCAGGGGGAGAGTTCTCCATTGCACTCTGGTGTGCTGATCCCTGAGATTTCCCAAAACATGGAAAACTCGACTTCAGAGTCTGTGGTGGGGACTGTGCTCGCACCCTCTCCTGCTTTTATTCATTCATTCATTTATTTATTTATTTATTTATTTATTTATTTTCAAGTCAGGGTTTCTCTGTGTATCCCTAACTGTCCTGGATCTCACTATGCAGACCAGGCTGACCTCAAACTCAGAACCTGCCTCTGCTCCTGAGTGCTGGGATTAAAGCTGTGCACCACCATCACCCCTCTCCTGCTTTTAAAGAAGAAAGAGAAAATAAGAATGGTGTGAGCTCTCTGCACCTTGTTCAAAGGAAATCTCTTCCCTTGACGTGATATGTACACGTGTTAACCAAACAATTCTGACTGTACGATAAATGATAGCTGAGGAGGGCAACAACCGAAGAAAGGTGAATTCCACGTTGATGTTTTAGGGAGACTGTTGTATGAGGTCACTTGTTTGTTTCCCGGCTGGCTGCCCAGACCCCCAAAATAACCACACAGAAACTGTACTAATTAAATCACTGCTTGGTCCATCAGCTCTAACTTCTTATTGGCTAGCTTTTACATCTCAGTTTAACCCATTTCCATTATTTTATATTTTACCACAAAGATCATGGCTTACAGGCAAGGTTTTAGCCTGTCTGTCTCTGGCAGCGGCTCCATGGCTTCTCTTTCACTCTGCCTTTCTTCTCCCAGCATTCAGTTTAGTTTTCCCTGCCTAGCTCTGTTCTACCCTATCAGGCCAAGCCAGTTTCTTTATTAACCAATGGCATTCACAGCATACAGAGGGGAGTCCCACATCACCTCCCCTTTTCTGTTTAAATAAAAAGGAATGTTTTAACTTTAACATAGTAAAATTACATAAAACTGAAGTAATAAGGGTGGTGGGGTTGCGTTCCCAGAACCCCGGCCGCCTGCCCGGCTAGCTTATGCCCCAAAATAATTACACAGACACTGTATTCTTTTAAGCACTGCTTGGCCCTTTAGCTCTAGCCCTTACTGGCTAATTCTGATATCCCGATCAACCCATTTCTAATAAACTGTAGCACCGGTCGTACCGGGAAGATTCTAGCCTATGTCCATCCTGGGTCGGATCGCGTGCGGAGCATGGCGTCTCTCTGAGGAGTCTGCTCCCGAGACCAGAGCTGTGGAGTCTCTGACCTCACTTCCTCTTCCTCCCAGTGTTCTGTCCTGTTTTCTCCTCCCACCTATCCTCTAACCAATAAAATGGGCCAGGGCAGTGCCTTTATTAGCCAATGACCTTCCTCCATCATTTCCCCTTTTTCGGTTTAAACAAAAAAAAAAGGCTTTAACATAGCAAAATTACATATAACAAAACAGTTATCAAGTAAAAGTTACAATAATCTTTATCATAACTAAGGAAAACTATAACTATAACTAACTATTCTTAACTCCATCAAAAACTCCAGAAAGATATAATATTACCTAAGTAAACAAGAACTAAGAAACTTCAAACTCTAGAAATGACAAAGACATCTCGCTGCCTGGACAGTCACCCAAAGTTCTTTTGTACCGTTGGGGCATCCATCTTCAGCCTTCAGGCCCATGGTATCCAGCAGACATTTCCATAAAGCAGGAAAATTCAAAGTCAGTTCAGTCACTATCTGTTGTGTCCTGCAGAATGTCTCGCAGACTCTTTCATGAATCAGGAACCCCGAAAGATCATCTCACCTTAGGCAAGTTCAGTAGTCCTCTCTCTGCGGGTTCTCTGTGTCCAGTTTATGCAGTAGTCCAGGCAAGAGCAGTTTCTTGCCCAAATGCTATCAAACTCCATCAGGTGCCTCTTCGATGCCCATCTTCCTCTTGAAGTACATTGGTGCTGCCAGGAGCAGAGTGTCTCATTGTCATGAAAATTCCTCAGTTATTAAAACATTAAATGTCCTATTCTGTAATCTTTGAAAGACATGAAGAATGTCTATCTAAAATATATCTCTATATATCTAGAAAATCTAACTAACATGACTACAAGCTTTACTATTATCAATGATTATCCATTAACAACCTATATTTCTTAATTATACAGTACATATTTATAATGAACTACACAATCACAACACCTTAATCAATATCAGAAATACATATACATATAACAAAATTGACCGTAAATCTCAATCTATACTAAAAGCAAAATCTATACTAATGCAAATTATTCATACCTATATCATATCCCCCTTTAAATGTAAAAGGACGTTTATAAACCATATTTGGGAACATGGGCGCAGTTTTTTCTCTCCAAACTGCTTCCTGCTGAATGGGGGCGTCGTTAATTAGGTCTTTCATGGTATAACCTGTGTGCTAGTTTCATCTCAGTTGGCAGTTGAGCGAAGCAATTTTCTGAAGATGTTCACTGCAACCCTTCAGGAGGGCGTGGTCCATCATACCAAATCGGAATAGAAGAAATGAACAGCGTCTCATCCTCTGTGAAAACAAAATAAGAAACTCCTTTCCAAAGCATCATGTCCTTAGATCCAAATTTCAAATTCAAGGCATTTTTAAAATATCTATGTTGGATTAGTTCAGCAGCATTTATAAATAAATATCTTTTAGCATCTGTTGCTCCTTCCTCAGCATTTAAACAGTTCAAAGAGAGCATAATAGCATACAGTATCAAGATTCTCTGTGTATTTTCCATCTTTGTACAGCTTTGTTTTAACCTCTATTTCGTTTATTTTTACTTTTAACTTTTTGCTTTTTGAGACAGGTTCTCTGTATCTTTGACCTGAAGTAACTCTGTAGACCAGGCTGTCTTTGAACTCTCAGAGATCCGCCTGTCTCTGCCTCCCAGGCATTGGGATTAAAGGTGTAAGCTACTACACCTTGAACTCACAGAGATCTGTTTGCCTCTGCCTTCTAGGCACTGGGATTAAAGGCGTGTGCTACCACACACAACAACTCTCTTCCTTTTTTTGTTTTTTACTTTAAGAACTTCAACTTTTAGTCTGCATATATTTTTTTTTAAATATTTATTTATTTATTATGTATACAATATTCTGTTTGTGTGTATGCCTGCAGGCCAGAAGACAGCACCAGACCCCATTACAGATGGTTGTGAGCCACCATGTGGTTGCCGGGAATTGAACTCAGGACCTTTAGGAAGAGCAGGCAATGCTCTTAACCGCTGAGCCATCTCTCCAGCCCCCCTGCATATATTTTTAACACACTTTAAACCATTCAGAAATTTTCTCTGTCTTTGAATCTCTCTTTACTGTATATCTCTCTTTTTCTGACCACACGAGTCTTTAATTTACCAAGCAATCTCAGTAGGATTAAAGGCGTGGCTTTGCCGGCTGGATCCAGCCCATTCCTTAGCTTTCCAGCCTCAAGGCTGAGGTACTGGCTGTAGCCAGCAAGGGAGCTTCAGCAGCCTGTGCTTGCAAACCGCACAAACCGCCTGGTAAAAGAGTCAGAGTTTGCCCTGGCAGGGCAGCCCAGAAAGCCAGCATTTTTAAACAGCGCAGCTTTTTTCCTGCTAAGGCTGAAAACCGAAAAGCATGCGTTCAGCTTTTCGTCAACACCATTTAAGTGTTTCGTGGCAGGACCTCTTAATGAGCTGCAGGCTTTGCAGCTAAAGCTGAGTCAGGAAGCCTCTCTTAGATGAGGCGCTTGCTTGCCTCTAACAAGCAGAGCAGACCCGAGAACACAGCGAGTCTAGTTGCCATCAAACAAATCATAGCCCTTTACTCCAAATGCTCTATTCAAAAGCTCTGTCTCCCGCAGGAGCCAGACAGAGATCACAATGGCGGCACAGCCCCAGGAAGTCGCGCTTTAAAATGACACAGCGTTTTTTGTGCTACTGTTGCCGAATCAGGAAATCTCTCTACAGCACGCCACCAACAAACAGCAAAAATCTGTGTTAAACTCTCTCTCCCTTATTTTTAAGCCTTCTCAGGTTTTTTAAATGGGTTTAGTTGTCCACATGTCTAGGCGCCAACTGTAGTAATATGAGCGGCGCAACATAAAACAGTTATTAAGCAAGAATTACAGTTACAATATTTATATCTATTTTATCTTTTATCATAACTAAGGAAAACCATATTATTACTATCTACTCTTCAACTCCATCAAAGACTCCATCAAAGGATATAATATTACCTAAGTTAACAGGAAGTGCCTTGTTAGCAACTTCCAAAACTCTAGAAATGACAGAGACATCTCACTGCCTGGACTGTCACCTAAGGTTTTTCTGTATCATTGGGGCATCCATCTTTAGCCCACAGGCCTATAGCATCCAGCAGACTTGTCCATGAAGCAGGAAATTTCAAAGACATTTCTGCCTATATTGGCAATTTGTCAGTCACTTTCTTCTGGTCCTGCAGAATATCTGGCAGACTCTTTCATGAAGCGGGAACCCCAAAGGACCGTCTCAAAGGCAGGTTCAGCAGTCATTTCTCTGTGGGTCCTGCATATCAAGCAGTCCAGGCAAGAGCAGTTGCTTCTCCAAATGGCTAGTAAACTCCATAAGGAGCCTCTTCAGTGCCCATCTTCCTCTTGAAGAAATTGGTGCTGCCAGGAGGAGTTGTGTCTCATAGTCATGAAAAGTCCTAAGTTCTTAAACATTTTAAATGCCATATTCTGAAGGTCTTTGAAAGGTTTGAAGAATGCCCATCCATCTAAAGTACATATCTGTCCATCTAGAAAATATGACTACAAGCTTGACTATTACAGATGATTATCTATTAACATATATTCTTCTTCTTCTTCTTCTTCTTCTTCTTCTTCTTCTTCTTCTTCTTCTTCTTTTTAGTTTTTTGAGCTAGGGTTTCTCTGTAGCTTTGGAGCTTGTCCTGTAATTTGCTCTGTAGTTCAGGCTGGCCTTGAACTCACAGTGATCCGCCTGTCTCTGCCTCCCAAGTGCTGGGATTAAAGGTGTGTGCCACCACCGCCTGGCTAACATATATTTCTTAATTATACATTACATTTTTAAATGAGTTATACAAACACAATACCTTAATCAAGAGCAAAAATACATATACACAGTATAACAATATTGACCTTAAATTTGCATCAATAAACCAAGATCCATACCAACGCAAATCTCTATAGCATATGCCCCTTGAAATATAAACAAACATTTATAAACAATATTTGGGAATTTGAGCATAGTTCTCTACAAACCGTTTCCTGTTTTTTGTTGAATGAAGTAATTTTTGAGGGTGTTCACAGCAACTTTTCAGGGTATCTTGGTCCATCAAACCACATTAGCCTGGAATGAATCCACAGGTTCTCATCCTCTGTGGAAACAAAAGAAGAACCTATTTTCCAAAGCAATATATCCTTAGATTCATATTTTAAAATCAAGATACCTTTAAAGTATATATGTTGGTCACTTAGCTCCTTCACGATCAAAAAATTCAAGGAAAACACAATAATACACATCATCCAGACTGTGTATTTTCCTGGGATTACAGGAGTGCACCACCACCGCCCAGCTTGTTTTATGTGTATATTTTTAACAGATTTTTTAAAATTTATTTATTATGTATACAATATTCTGTCTGTGTGTATGTCTGCAGGCCAGAAGAGGGCACCAGGCCTCATTACAGATGGTTGTGAGCCACCATGTGGTTGCCGGGAATTGAACTCAGGACCTTTGGAAGAGCAGGCAATGCTCTTAACCTCTGAGCCATCTCTCCAGCCCCCAGATTTTTTTTTTTTTTTTACTCGCTAGTTTTATGTCAACTTGACACAGCTAGAGTGACCAGAGAGGGAGGAGCCTCAGATGAAATATGCCTCCATGAGATCAGGCTGTGGGTAAGTCTGCAGTGTAGGTGATTCACGGGGGAGGGCCCAGTCCATTACAGGTTGTGCCATCCCTGGGCAGGTGGTCCTGGACTGCACAAGAAAGCAGGCTGAGAAAGCTAAGAGGAGAAAACCAGTAAGCAGCTCTCTTCTGCGGCATGATAGATGTATGTACATGTGAATGCAGGTGCCCAAGTCAGGTCCCCTGGAGTTAAGGAGAGGTTGTAAACCACCTTATGTGCGCGCTGGGAACTGAACTCAGGTATGCACTCTTAACAACTGAGGCATCTCTCCAGCTTCATGTTTGCTTTATTAAAAAAAAAAAAATGTGTGTGCCAGGCGACAGTGGCACAAGTTTTTAATTCTAGCACTTGGGAGACAGGGGCAGGCAGATCTATGAGTTCGAGGCCAGCCTGGTCTACACAGTGAGTTCCAGGACAGCCAGAGCTACACAGAGAAACCAAATCTCAAAAACCAAAGAAAGAAAGAAGGGGGGGAAGAGTTGTGTGCCAGTATGCTCACTTGTGTGTGCATGAGTGGAGGTCGGAGGTTGACTCTGAGTATCTTCCTTTCTTTGGAGACAGGCTTGCTCCCTGAACCTGGAGCTTTGGCTAGACCGTGCAGCTGTGAGCTCTAGAGATCTTGCTGACTACTCCTCCCCAATGCTGGGGTTATGGATGCTGAAGATCCACTCAGGGGGTGTTGGGCTGGGGGAAGAGTCTACCTGGCTCAGACACCTGAACGGCTGGTATAAAGAAGTGACCGATGCTAGATAAAGGTTAAGACATAAGAAGCTAATGAGACAGGGTCTAGTTTGGCGACTTAAAGTAGACAGAACTGTCTCTTAGAAAATGGAGAGCCAAATGACCTCAAAAAGTGGTTTTCTCCAAAGTATACAATTAGAAATAAACCCAGCAGAAAAGCTAACTCCAAATTATTCCTAATTAGTTCCTTCTATAGTAACTATTAATTTTCCGCAGCCTTATATTTACAGCCCGCTTGAAATTTCGAAACACAGCCATTCTAACACATTGCTGGCGGCGGAAATGGTCTCAGTATTGCAACCGGAAACAAACTGACCACTACACAAACGCCACCTAACGACGGGCTAGAGCACAGGCAAACCCTGAAAAGCAGCCCAATCGGAAGGGGCCTGGCTTTCCGGGGAAATTTTGACGGAGAATGAAATGAGAGCGAGGAAGAACTGGCCACTTTTCTCGGTCGCCGATTTGGCACGGCATCCCCTCAGGCCCTCTATTGCGCAGGCGCAGTTCTACTACGCTCAGCAACAAGAACACGTAAGCAAAGGCAGGAGCCGGTTCTGCTTTCATTGCACCTACTATTTTACAGGGTAAAACCGTTGGCTCTTGATTTGTAAACTACATTTCCCAGCAGGCACCACTTTCATACAGATAATAGATTTGGTTCAGGGATAGGGTAAAGACAACTTTAGGGAGATGACGTATAAACAGGAAATAAGTTGATTATGATGTTTGAGCGCCTCAGTTCAGAGAGCCCCAGTGGCCTAATGGATAAGGCATTGGCCTCCTAAGCCAGGGATTGTGGGTTCGAGTCCCATCTGGGGTGGTATATTTTTTTCTTGTACCTTCCTTCTAGTTAAAACGCGAGCATTGAGTCAAATTTATTATTCATTTTGTTTTATGTATTTATTTTTGAGACAGGAGCTCACTACATAGCTCTGGTTGTCCTGGAACAAACTATGTAGAGACCAGACTGGTCTTGAATTCACAGAAATCTGCCTTTCTCTGCCTCCCGAGTGCTGGGATTAAAGGCATGCGACACCATCACCCAGCCATTTTGTTTTAAAACTAGAGACACTGGTGTTTGCTAGTAAAGCTGAGGGGCTGCGGTTTGCCACATCAAGATACAAGCCCATTTTCTTCCCCGGGGCTGCGGGTGTCACGAAGTTTGGAGGTCGATGCGTTTAGTTTTGACATCCCTGGAAGAAATGGGTTAGACCTTTTTCACATGACCTGAGTCAAATCCACACTGTCTCCTGCCAGCCGCTTTTCTCCTGAATGTCAGCGGCCACCGACTAATGGACGTCCGAAGCGACGCCGTCCGAAGGTCCTCCGGGAGTCGCTACCTTTACGGTTCTCTTCCCAGCGCGCCCCTGGCGTGTCGCTCGCTCGCAGGCGGACGGTAGACGGCGCTGTGGCGCGCACAGGAGCGGCCGTCCCAGCGAGCGCGGCTTCGCGAGGAACCTGGCTCGCCAAGGACAGGAGAATGGCGGCCCTGGGGTCCCCGGCGCGCACTCTGAGAGGCCTTCTGCGGGAGCTGCGCTACCTGAACGCGGCCACCGGGCGACCGTATCGCGACACTGCGGCCTACCGGTACCTGGTGAAGGCCTTCCGAGCACATCGGGTACGGAAGCCGCGTCCGGGTCTCGGGAAGGGCAGACGAGGGTGGGTCTGGGCAGGGTGATGGCGACGTCTTGGGGAAAACGTGTCTGAGCTGACCTGTCCTCCACCTGCGGTTCTCACCACGTAACCCAGGCCCTGGGCTAGCCTGTGCCTCCAGTCCCCCTACTGACCCCAAAGCCACGTGGGGTGCACCTTCTTAGGGACTTCGTATTTGCCATCCCCCAGGGTGGAGCTGTCTCTGACGATTTCATTGGTTTGTCTGGTACATGGGTATGGGATTAAGGGACGGGCATTGTACAAAGTAGGCCCCAGGGGTCCTTACCCTTAAAGGCACAAGGGCACAAACATCCCCTCTCCTCACACTTTCCACATTAAGTTTTTATAGGAAGCAATGTTTTTGTGTGGCGGGAGTGTGTGTGTGTGTGTGTGTGTGTGTGTGTGTGTGTGTGAGAGAGAGAGAGAGAGAGAGAGAGAGAGAGAGAGAGAGAATTTCACTATTAAATTAGCCGACCTGGAATTTGCTATGTAGACCAGACTGACCTTGAACTCAGGTCTCCCCTGTCTCCTGAGCTCAAGGATTAAAGGAAGGCACGGGCCAGACAAAGACAATTTTTAAGATAATGAAGTAGGGAATATTGGCATATGTTTTATTTATGTAATATTTTGTTCACCATTGAGAAAAGCAATGACTTGTATAAAGAGATTGCACTACTAGCTAATTACCTTGCTATCTAACAAGATGCATTTTTTAAAAGATTATTATGTATATAGTGTTTCTGTCTGCATGCATAGCTGCACGCCAGAAGAGGGCATCAGACTTCACTATAGGTGGCTGTTAGCCCCCTTGTAGTTGCTGGGAATTGAACTCAGGATTTCTGGAAGAAAAGCCGGTACTCTTGACCTCTGAGCCACCTATAGTCCCACGTTAAAGGTTTCCCCGCTGTAACAAACATAAATACACAGAATGCGATCCTTAGGTACCACTGTGAAATCCACACTCCATTTCCTCTTAGTAGGAAAGGAAGGTGGTTCATTTCCCAAGTCAGTTCTCTGCCTTTGGACAGCTAAGGCTCAGGATAGTTACCTGTATAAGAATAAGCAGAACTAGAATTTAGGAGAAGAAAATCTAATGTCCTTGAGCTTCATCTTACCGCTGAATTTGAACAATGGAAAACCTTAGAACTAAAAGCTGCTTAGCTTTTAGAAAGTCATAATGTTAGGGACTGTGTGTATTAAGAACTTGGACCAAAAATTAAGAGTAAGATTGCACCTGCCAGTGGTGACATACGCCTTTCATCCCCGCACGCAGACTCCTGAGTTTGAGGCCAGTCTGGTCTAGAGTTGAATTCCAGGACAGCCATAGTTTCACAGTGAATCCTTGTCTCAAAACACAACAAAACAGAACAGTAACAGCAAAACTCCTCAGAAAAACATCAACAATTCATGCTCACAACTCCACGGCTGGCCAGGCTGTGGTGGCACACATCTTTAATCCCAGCACTCGGGAGACAGAGGCAGGCGGATCTACAGAGCAACTTCCAGGACAGCTAGTACTGTTACACAGAGAAACCCTGTCTGGAAAAAGCAAAAACAAACAAACTAACAAAAAAACAAAACTCTAGGGCTGACCCACATCTTTAACCCAAGCACTTCTGAAACATAGGCAGGCAGATACCTGAGTTCAGGCCAACCTGATCTATGAAAAACGTTACAAGCCAACCAGAGCTTCCCTGTCTCAAGAAAATAGCAAACAAAACAAAACACCAACAACAAAAACAAGCCTCAGAAATGTCAAGTCTGATGGTAAGAGGCGGCAGGAAAGTACTTGTCTGAGGCCACTAGAAATTCAACTCTAGGTGGTGGCACATGCCTTTGATCCCAGGATTTGGGAGGCAGAGGCAAGCAGATCTCTGTGAGTTTGAGGCCAGCCTGCCTACAGGAATAGTTCCAGGACAGCCAAGATTACACAGAGAAACTCTCTCTCAAAAAACAGAAACCGAAACAAAACAAAAAAGAAATTCCATGCTATTTCTAAGCGAATGCATATAGACTATGGGGAATGATTTCTATTTCCTCCTGGCTCAGGGCTGACAGAAGCTTTCTGTGCTCATCTTTTCTGTTGCCTAGGGAGAAGGATGAAATTATTCTTTTTACATCACACCTGCAGCTTCCCCTCCCTCCACTCCTCCCAGTCCTCCTAACCTCCCATCTCTTCCAGATCCACTCACAGCCCTGTCTCCCCACAGAAAAGAGCGGGACTACCAGGGTCACCAGCTGAACATGGCACAAGATACAATAAGATCAGGCACAAACCCTCATGTCAAGGCTGGGCAAGGCGACCCAGTAGGAGGAAAAGCTACCTTCATCTTTTAATGTATTTATATATCTACTTTTTGGGGTGGTGTGCATGCCAAACATGTGGGGGCTGGAGAACAATTTGTAGGGAGTCAGTTCTCTTTCTCTACTGTGTGGGTTCTGGGGGACTGAACTCAGGGCATCAGGTTTAGCAGCAAGTATTCTTACCTACTGACTGTGAATTTCTTTTTTCTTTCTTTTTTTGTGTGTTTTTGTTTGTTTTTTTGTTTGTCTTTTTTTTTTTTTTTCTGAGATAGGGTTTCTCTTTGCGTAGTCTAGGCTGCCCTGGAACTCACTCTGTACACCACGCTGGCCTGGAACTCACAGAAACCCACCTGCCTCTGCCTCCTGAGTGCTGGGATTAAAGGTGTGCGCCAGCCACCACACCTGGTTTCTTACAGTGATTTTTCAAGTCAGCTAGTATACATAGTGAGACCATTTTCTCAAAAAGCAGTCATACACACACACACACACCAAGTTTGACAATGTGATTATGGTGTCACATACCTGCAAATCTCAGCATTTGTAAAACCCTTTTTTGAAGAAGATGGAATTACAGGCCAGTCCATGCTACATAGTAAGACCTTGTCTCTAAAAACATTCCGATTCTAGCAGGTGAGTGCTGCTGGTAATACATTAGATACTACATGCTTGAGTTGTCTAATTTTTTTTTAAGTTTTATTTTGTTTGTTTGTTTTTTTGTTTGTTTTGAGGCAGGGTTTCTCTGTCTAACAGCTCTGGTTGCCCTAGAACTCTCTTTGTAGACCAGGCTGGCCTCAAACTCATGGAGCTCCACCAGCCTCTGCCTCCCAAGTGCTGGGATTAACGGTTTATGCCACTAATGCCAGGCTTGAGTTTTCATATTTTAACTGTGGATATTCACAGGGGTAAAACACATCCCCATTCATGCACAATTTCTTGATGTTCCCACTCCTTTTTCACAACCTTGGAAACCCAAACAGTTAAGGGTAGAGTACTAAAACTCAAGTATTATGAAGAACAAGCATGCTATTGAGTTACTCTAGGCATTGATATGGACGTTTTAGCTTGTTCACGTCATTAGAATCCAGATTTTCCAGATGGCTAAATTGTACAAACAAGTTTAATATAAAAACATACTTCATATATATATATATATATATGTATATATATTCACAAACGCATACACATAGATACATATATATGATCTTCATGTTGCTACTGTTGAGTACAAAGCCATTATTTTTGAGATAAGTTTCTGATTTTGTAGTAAAAGGTGTTAGGTTTCAGGAAGTCCCTATATCCAGAAATGGGCTACAGAGAGGTTTTTGTACATTATATAAAAGCCAGTATTCCTCAGGAACTTGTGAAACGGGGTTTTCTACCCCACAAAGGAGTCATTTCCCTTGCTCTTGGAAGGTGGGACTTGTTCTCCATTTGATTGCATCTGTGATTGCACATCAAGGTCCCTGCTAGCCTTTGCCCTTTCACAGTCCCTACTCATAAGTACTTGTACATTTCCAAGCCCCTGCACTAGCTAGCATCCTGGCCCTGCTAACTGCCCCCTCCCCCAGGCATGTTCCAGCTCTCTGTTCCCTTCCCCGAGCTATTCATTCTCCTTCCAACCCACTATCTCTTGCTCTCTCATGGCCCTGGCCACCATGTTCAGCCCACTGCATCTTCTTCTCTGCTATGGACTCTTCTAGATGAATATTTTCTCTTTTTCACAATAAAAATGATACAGTAAGTCCAGTGATGGCGGTGAATGGCTGCATAGGTAGGCTTGATAGTTCCAGGCCAGCCTGGTCTACTCAGACAGAGATCTAACTGCCTCTGCCTCCTTGAATGTTGGGATTAAAGGTGTGGGCCACCACCACCAGGCTGCTGTTAATTTTCTTGGTGTTGGGAGCTTGAATTACAAATAAAAACATGTAGTAGGGGGCAGACCCGAGGCATGTATGTTCTTTATGTGGCAGAACAACAAGAGTGCTCCTATGAAGGCACTAACTATACATACAAGCATGTTTGTATTTTCTGTTTACATTGTAGAAAAGCTCATGTATTAACTCTTCCCCTGTGGGTTTGTGGAAACTTTAGAGTGTTAACAGACGTCTGACTTTGTTAATTACTTTTTAGGTCACCAGCGAGAAGTTATGCCGAGCCCAACATGAACTTCACTTCCAAGCGGCCACCTATCTCTGCCTCTTGCGTAGCATCCGGCAGCATGTAGCTCTTCATCAGGAATTTCATGGCAAGGGTGAGCGTTCAGTGGAGGAGTCTGCTGGTTTGGTGGGCCTCCAGTTGCCCCGTCAGCCTGGAGGGAAGGGCTGGGAGCCATGATGGAGAGAGCCCTCAGATGTCCCTTCATTCAAGAATTTAACCATTTCTACCAATATGTATTTATCATTAAATATTTTTTAAACTGTTTTTTTGTTGTTTAGTCCTGTATTTTTTTGTTTCCTGAGTGGCTAGGGAAATAAAACTGGAGGGGTCTGCAAATGAATTTGCTGAACTTTTTTACATTGGATTAATTGATTTTGTGGGTGTCGGTGCTCTGCACATGAAGGTTCATGTGGAGGCCAGAGGTTGACAAGAGGATGCCATCCTCAAGTGCTTCTCCACCTTACTTCTTTTTTTTTTAATATTTATTTATTTACTTATTTATTATATATACAATATTCTGTTTTGCTTGTATGCCTGCAGGCCAGAAGAGGGCACCAGACCTCATTACAGATGGTTGTGAGCCACCATGTGGTTGCTGGGAATTGAACTCAGAACCTTTGGAAGAGCAGTCAGTGCTCTTAACCTCTGAGCCATCTCTCCAGCCCTCCACCTTACTTCTTGAGACAGTATCTCTCACTGAATAGAGCTCACTATTTTCGGTCCAGAGACTGACTAGCACGTCCTCAGGACCATCTCTGCTTCCCAGCTTGGGGATTAGAAGCTTCCACTAACATGACTGTTAATGAGGGTGCCAGGGACATGTGCAAACTAACCAGGGAGCCTATCCCATCGGCCCTGATGGACTTGGTCTAATTTTATAACCCAGGGTTCTTTTTTCTCTTCTTTCTTCTTCTTCCTCCTCCTTTTCTTCTTCTTTTTTTAAAGTAATAAATGGAGATGGGCTCAGTGGTCAGGAGTGAGATGAGTTTGGTGTCTAGCCCCCATGTCAGGTACTAACAACTGTATAACTCTAGTTTCAAGGGATCTAGCACCTCTGCTCTCTACAGGACCTGCACTCATGTGCACATACTCATACACATAGACATATTTTTGAAGACATATTTTATGAATGAATGCTATCTGCATGTACACGTTTACGCCAGAAGAGTTCATCAGATCCCATTATAGATGGTTGTGAGCTTCCAAGTGGTTGCTGAGACTTGAACTCAGGACATCTGGAAGATCAATCTGTGCTCTTAACCACCAAGTCATCTGTCCTGCCTCCACATATACATAATCTAAAAATAATTTTTTGTTTTACTTTTGCTTATTTTTGAGATTGGGTCTCATGATGTAGTTCTGATTGGCCTGGAACTTGCTATGTAAGCCAGGTGAACCTTGAACTCAGGGACCTGCCTGCCTCTGCCTCCAGAGTGCTGGAATTAAAGTACCACCATGCTGAGCTCTGAACATAAATATTTTATTTATTTCTTTAAAATATTTATTTATTTACTTACTTATTTACTTATTTGTTTATACAATATTCTGTCTGTGTGTATGCCTGCAGGCCAGAAGAGGGCACTAGACCTCATTACAGATGGCTGTGAGCCACCATGTGGTTGCCGGATATTGAACTCAGGACCCTTGGAAGAGCAGGCAATGATCTTAACCACTGAGCCATCTCTCCAGCCCCGAATATAAATATTTTAAAATATAAAAAAAAATAAGTAATGCAGGCCTAATGTCTTAAGGAATTATTTGGGTGTTTTTGTTTGTTTTATTTTTTTGAGACAGGGTTTCTCTGTGTAGATTTAGAGCCTGTCCTGGAACTTGCAGGCTAGCCTTGAGCTCTTAGGAATTCACCTGCCTCAGCTTCTCGAGAACTGGGACTAAAGGCAAGTGCTACCACTGCCCGGCAGTTTCCTAAGGAATTCTTTTTGTTGTTGTTGTTGTTTTAAAAACAGCTTTGGGGCCTGTCCTGGAACTCACTCCATAGACCAGGCTGGCCTTGAACTCAGAGGTCTCTCTGCCTCCCCAGTGCTGGGATTAAAGGCGTATGCCAAAACCGCCCAGCTAAAAAATTCCATAATTTTTTTGTTTTGTTTTTCGAGACAGGGTTTCCTTGTATAGCCCTGGCTGTCCTGGAACTAGCTCTTGTAAACCAGGCTGGCCTCAAACTCAAAGAGATCTCCCTGCCTCTGCCTCCCTCCCGAGTGCTGGGATTAAAGGCGTGCGCCACCACCACACAGGTGTGCATCTTTCAAAACTTTTATTTTCTTACTGTATGATTTGTATGAGTGCAGGTGTTTGTGTACCACCATGCAGGTAGAAAGGTAAGAGGACAATTTTAGGGAGTCAGTTTTCTCCTTCCACAGTGGGATCCAGGGACTTGAACTCATGTTCTTATTCTTATGCTTCAAGTGATTTTACCTACTTGCTGGTCTACTGTGTCTTTTATAAAAGTACACAACTGTAACCAGGTGGCGACGGCAGTGTATTCCTTAAATCCCAGCACTTGGGAGGCAGAGAGGAGTGGATCTCTGTGAGTTTGAGACCAGCCTGGACTACAGAGCAAGTTCCAGGACAGACGCCAAAGCTACAGAGAAACCCTGTCTTGGGGGAAAAAAGGACCCAACTGTGATGTGTTAGGGTCCTGACAAGAAACAGATGGAATAAGCCTGAGAAGAGTTAAAAGGGATGTGTGAAGATTTGGGAAGAATTAAGTGATGTCAAGCAGTAAGCTAACGACAGTGGGAGGTATTACTTCCTTAGGCCTGAGAAGCAATGGCTCCTAAGGATGATAGCCACAGCTGAACCCCAGCCCATAGATGTCCAGGAAGAGGGCAACATCTACCGCCTACTACTGTCAACTTGCTCTTCCTTTTAAACTGCACTTGAACCAATGTTCCTAATGCGTTTGGCTAACCAATACAAAACTTGGCCTGTTTGGTATAGGTCTCCTTGCTCTCCAAATGTATTCTGCCACTTCTGCATCTTCTAGTTCCTCCTTATTCCTCTATCTTCACCTTGTCTGCCTCAATTCAAGCACTAATAATCCTTTTTTTCTGATAAAAATTATTTACTGACAATTCTTTACTACAATACTGAAGATAAAGCCGGGCGGTGGTGGCGCACGCCTTTAATTCCAGCACTCGGGAGGCAGAGGCAGGTGGATCTCTGTGAGTTCGAGACCAGCCTGGTCTACAAGAGCTAGTTCCAGGACAGGCTCCAAAACCACAGGGAAACCCTGTCTCGAAAAACCAAAAAAAAAAAAAAAAAAAATACAATACTGAAGATATACAATACAGATTTTTCAGAAGCTGCTAGGTAGTGGTGGCACACACCTTTAATTCCAGTTGTAGGGAGGCAGAGGCAGGTGGATCTCTGTGTGTTCAAGGCCAACTTGGTCTACAAGAGCTAGCTAGGCCCAGGACAGACTCTAAAACTACAAAGAAACCCTGTTTCGAAAAACAAAACAAAACAAAAAAGAATTTTGAGAAGCCAATACCAGAAGAATAAAGAGAAACTGAGCCAGTAACGGGGAACATATAAATTTAATGTTACTGAGTACAAGTTCCTATGCTGTTTTTAGAAGTCACGTGAAGGTTAAATGCCTTAAGTATCTTAAAATTCAATTTTCCTAGTACATAGAAAGGAATTTTAACTTTTAGTATTTCTTTCTAGTATCAATCCCAATGAAACCAATTTACTAAACTAGTTTAGCATTTCAGGAAAATGTATAATTAAAAATTTTTTGACTGAATAGTTCATAGAAGAAATTATATTTATGCAACTGCATGATATTTCTGATATAAATAATAATTTGCATTCACAAATAAATATTTTACTCTAGTCAAAATAATCCCAGCACTTGGGAGACAGAGGCAGGCAGATCTCTGTGAGTTCGAAGCCAACCTGGTCTACAAGAGATAGTTCCAGGACAGACTCCAAAGCTACAGAGAAACCCTGTCTCGAAAAACCAAAAAAAGAAAAAAAAAAAGAAAAAGAAAAAAAGTGTAGAAATAATAGACTACTGAACCAGATGGTGATGGCACACCTTTAATCCCAGCACTTGGGAGGCAGAGATAGGTAGATCTCTACAAATTTGAGGCCAGCCTGGTCTACAGAGTGAGTTTCAGGACAGCTAGAACTACACAGAGAAAACCTGTGTCAAAAAAACCAAAAGGAAGCCGGGCCGTGGTGGCGCACGCCTTCTGTGAGTTCGAGACCAGCCTGGTCTACAAGAGCTAGTTCCAGGAGCAGGCTCCAAAAAAACGACAGAGAAACCCTGTCTCGAAAACCAAAAAAAAAAAAAAACCCAAAAGGAAAGAAAGAAATATATATTACTAAAATTATAATTTTTACCTGATTTAAAAAATATGACAGTTTCACAAATTTGCATGTCCTCTTTGTGCAGGGCCATGCTAATCCTCTCTGTATTGTTCAATTGCAGTGTAAGTGCTACAGAAGCAAGGAAGTGCTGGGATTAAAGGTGTGGCCACCACCACCAGGCTGCTCTTAGTTTTCTTGGTGTTGGGAGTTTGAATTATAAATAAAAACATGTATAATGAATCAGATGTTCGCCTTCTACAATTTTGTGGAGGGGAAAGAAACCAATGCACTTTTGAACTATAAACAAGTTAATTTAGGCTAATTTGTTATGTACAGAATTTTTTCTTTCTTTCTTGTGGTACTGGGGATTGAACCCAGGACCGTACGAGTACTAAACCAGTACTCTACCCTTTTGTTTTTATTTTGAAAGGGGGAACACACACGCAGACACACACACACACTCTTTCTGTTTTTTTTTTTTTTTGTTGTTGTTGTTTTGTTTTTTTATGGCAGGGTTTTTCTTTGTAGCCCTGTCTTGGAACTCACTCTGTAGGCCAGGCTGGCCTAAGAGAGCTGCCCGTCTCTACCTCCGAAGTGCTGGGACTAAAGCGTGTGCCACCACTGCCCAGCTGTCTTTCTTATTTTTTCTTCCTTTTTTGATTTTTTCTTTTCTTTTCTTGTTGGGACCAATTGAGTCCTGGCCTTCAGCTGCTCTTCCCTATCTAGAGCCTTCTAATTGAAGTTACTAAAAGCTGTGCCTTACCTAGAAGATCAGAGGCTGGGATTTTCACCTGTTGGCCATTGACGGCTGTGTATTTAAGCCTCAATGGTGCTATTCCATACTACAAAAAGGAAGAGAAAAAAGAAAGAAAACTAGGGGCTGGAGAGATGGCTCAGCGGTTAAGAGCACTGACTGCTCTTCCAGAGGACCC